TGGGTGTATGTATGCCACGTGAAGTGGTATCGCTATTTTCACGCAGGCATGGCAAACAACTCCGTCATTGAAGAGAACTTTGCATAATTAATGTGTGTACACAGCGCGAGCCCGTGTGCGCGCATGTTTGTGAACCAGCTTTTAATTCCGATAATTAATTAATGAGAGGTTTTTTTACGAGTAAATCTATAACTCCGGTGTAAACATGAATGCACTTATTCTCCGAACATGGTTCGCAGTCAGTAAATGAAACATAGGAATAGCGTCACTTATTTGCGATGCATGCACGTACGATCAACTGTACATGCGCCAACTGTTCGTCCGCGAATGATTATATCTTATTATTTATTATTTTTATTTATTCTATTTTTTTCTTCATTTATTTATTTTGATTACATCAGATATACCGTAATAACATTGAGCGTGGAAATGTGCGCCGAAATACCAAGATAGAAATCGAAACGAGGCTTGCTCAGCCGGTAAAACTCCGTTCCAACTTCATCACGCGTACGTGTAGTGAAACGCTCTCGATCAAAATTCGTGTAAATTCGCTGCATTCGCTCTGCCGACTTACGGGTAAGTTTATAAGCTCGTGCGCGCTCCGCGCTGTTTGGCAGGTTTGCGTCAATCCGGATTTATTCGCGTCAGCGACTCGAATTAAGCACGACCGTGACAGTGTAATCTTGTCGCCAAACATATGTTATAGAGTTTGTCACATGTGCTGCCATCATAAAACGCCTGCAAGTGCCAGCGAGCACGCGACAACTACGCAGTAGTTACTACAAGTACGCGTACAACTACGCAGTACTTACTACAAGTACGCGTACAACTACGCAGTACTTACTACAAGTACGCGTACAACTACAACAACTACAAGTACAACAACAAACAATAATAACAACAACAACAACAAACAAGTGACAAGTGACAAGTGACGAGTGACGAGTGACAAGTGACAAGTACAAGTGACGAGTGACAAGTGACAAGTGACAAGTACAAGTGACAAGTGACAAGTGACAAGTACAAGTGACAAGGGACAAGTGTCGAGTGATAAGTGACAGGTACAAGTGACAAGTGACAGGTACGAGTGTGACAAGTACAAGTGTGACAAGTACAAGTGTGACAAGTACTGCTATACTACTCACAACCTTCTGTTATTCACTCGCACCTTCTGTTGTGCACCCTCGCGGCGTTCGTTTAGGGCATTCATAATGTTTTCCCCATGCGACAAAAAGAACCAATGTTGCACACATCTGCAAATGTCTTGCAAATGATACTATAGTAAATTCTTTGCGAAAACGGTCAATAGATATTTATTTCAGGTCTTCAATTAAACTCCGTCGCTCTCCCGCAGACTCTGATAAAGGCAAAACTCGCGCTGAATAGATACGAAAAGAAATTGCCACTCTCGCTTACACACTCTCACCGATTGCGCCCACTCGTGCTTTGATCAAACGAATTAACGTCTTCGTGTATTTGCTAGCTCATTATATTGATCAGTCGCCTGATCTGGTTAACTGGTCATTAGCCGCTTCCTCAAAGCCTAGCCCTCATCGGCTGCGATGCTCCGCCATCAGATTCACGCCGGTGATTTCACCAACGAAGTTACGATACCTATTTCGCGAGCTAGCACACATGCGCGTGCGTACTGACACGAGACTGTGTGAAATAACTGGGGAAACTAGGCGGTGTGCTCGAGTTGTGTGTGCGTATTAATTGTAGTATCGACGCCCCGCTACGCGTCTGAGTTCTACATCATTACTGCGTGCTGCAAGATTATTAGAGCTACGCTGGACTGCTCGATTAACTTATCACTTCTAATTATGCTGCTAATTTCGGTGCATCATCTTCGTTACACCCCCCTATGTTCGATCGATAGCGTGGGTAGAAGAATACGCGCAGCCAGCGCGGCGGTAGCAGAGTCGCAGAGTTAAGGCCAGGGGCGTAGCCAGTATGTAGCACTATAGGCCCGGGCCTACACTTTTTTGGCCAAGTTATCTTCTTTTTTTTAAACACCCATAATTAAAATCCATAAGCTTGCTGGACGAGTTTAAGAGTCTAGGCAAGAAAAACTATTTAAATGAACGTAGCAAGAATATGGCTAAATTAGGTGACCTATTCTTCTGTCATCTAGGCTGTCATTTCTATCGCGTGCCGTTTCATTCAAC